CTGGGGTGCAGGGCCCCTCGTGTGCATCTCCCCCCCCAAGGCCCTGCCTGCCCTGCTCCTGGCGCGGGGCAGCTCCCAGCCCTACGGGTTTGATCCTGCACCCCCTCTCCCGAGTGGCACAGGACAGCTCCCTCCACACCTCTGCTTGCCAGAAGAGCTGGGGGGGGCTCCTTGCTGCCAAGGGACCCTCCCTCGCAGAGCACATTATCCCTTCTCCTTCAGCCACCCTTGGGACCCCTGTGTCACTGCCCTGGGGGGGGGGTCTGTCCTCCCCACCCTGACGTGTGTCTGAGTGTCTCCCTGTCCCCTGATCCCTCCCTGTGTTTCCCTCTTGGCAGGGAGAACGTGGTCTGAAGGGCACGGAAGGGGACAAGGGGGACAAGGGGGAGCAAGGCATGCCTGGAGAGAAGGTACAGGGCTCGGGGGGCTTGTGCGGGGCTGGGGACTGCTGGTTTGGGGACCATGGAGGGCTGTTGATGGGGTGATGGATGAAGGGACCAGGGCATGATGGCATCCCTGCGCCCCATGTGCTGGTGCTTGTGGGCACCCTGGCATGGTGCTTGGCACCCCAGCAAAAGGAGCTGCCGGAGCCGGCCTCGGAGGTCACCGTGGCTGTGCTATGGCCGTGCCGTGGCCAGAGCCCTCCCTCCTGCCCTGTGTCGATCTGGGTTTCTGCTTGCAGGGGGCGAGGGGCGAGCAAGGCGAGAAGGGCTCCACAGGCTTCCCGGGGGCACGCGGCCCCGGCGGGCAGAAGGTAAGGAGCTGGGCACCCCACACTGCTGGGGGGTGCTGGGGGGATGCTGGGGGCACCGTCCCCCTTGCCTGCCTTGACTGATGCCTTTGCCTTCCCCAGGGAGAGGTTGGAGCATCAGGAGAAAACGCGCCTGCCAAGCCCCCCTGCCACTCCACCGCAAGGCAGGAATGGACCCCCATCATACTGTGCGCTTTCCTGCAGGGCCAGCCCGGCCGCGATGGGATCCCTGGAGCCCGGGGAGAGAAGGGGGACATGGGACCCCTGGGCATGCGTGGCCCCAAGGTGGGTTGGCCCTTCTAACCGCTGGTGCTCTCCCGGCCAGGACCTGCACTGGTGGTGTGGCTCTGACTCCCCTCCTCCTCCTCGCAGGGTGACCGGGGCATGAAAGGCGCCTGTGGCATCGATGGGGACAAGGGTGAGAAGGTGAGTGGGTGCCCGCGGGGTGCCACAGGAGCCTGGATGTTGCCTGGAGACTGCGGCCCTTTGGATCCCCTCTGCCAGCCCGGGGGAGCAGGGACAT